CCTGTGATCCTGTTTATAGTAGCCCCCAAATGGAAACAGCCTAGATGTCCTTCCACAGGTTAATGGTTATACACATTGTGGTGCATCCATCCCATGGAATACCTCTCAGCAAGAAAAAAGAATGAACTATTGATACACACAATGATATGAATGTTTATTAAAAGAATCCTGCTTAGTGAAAAAAGTCAGTCCTAAAATGTTTACGTGCTATATGATCCCATTTATATAATATTCATGAACCAACCAAAGTATAGAAATGGAGAACAGATTAGTGGTTTCCAGGAGTTAAGTACAAGGTCAGAAGAAAGAAGCAGAGAAGTGAATGTGTATACACAAGGGCAACCTCAGGGATCCTTGTGGTGAAGGAAATGTTCTGTACCTTGACTGTATTTTACCACATACATGTGGTGAAATTGAGTACAACTCAGTACAAAAAGAATACCGATAAGTTGGAGAAATATGAACAAGACAGATTGCATCAATGTCCATATCCTGGTCATGATAATGTGCTACAGTTTTGTAAGATGTTACCACTGGGAAACACTGAGTAAAGAGTCCATAGGATCTCGTGGGACCAGCAGATGGGGTAATGGTTACATCATTGGTCTTCCATGTAGTCAACCACGGTTCAAGTCCCCATCCCAGTGACTTAAAAACTCATGCCAGGTGCATGTGTATGCATGCCCAAGATCCCGAGAGAAGAATGGAAGAGAAGGGATTGTGGCATTGCTTTCCCCCTTCTGGGGAGCTGATTTCTCACTTTCTGTCTCTCTGTCTCTGAATGTCTGACAAGCGCACACTATAGCAAAACTCTCTCTTAAAAAAAAAAAAATGAGTACACACGATCTCTCCATATTATTTCTTACAACTACTTGGGATAAAATTCTTTAATCATCTTAAAATTAAAAATTTAGTTTTAAAAAATGCATAGTGCATATGCATGGTACCAAGCCTAGGTAAAAAAATAAATAGCTTTTATTGATTTTGACCAGTATGTTCAATTCCAGCAACAATTTAAGACAATTATGGATATCAGGAAAAGTCTTGATGAGAGTGACCTATTCGACTTCTGGAAACTTTGTTAATATTTGGTACTGAAGAAATTGGAACGATTCACCATGAAGTATGGAAGACTAAAAGAAACATACCAGTCATTAAAAGTGCTGAAATAGAAACTACATCCTCTATTAATTCCTGGAGCTGTGCTAGAATCATTGCAAGAGAGGGACCAGCAGTTAGTGTAATGGCTATGTCACTGAACTCCCATGTAGCCAACCCTAGTTCGAGTCCTGGACCCGGTGGTTTAAACTCACGCCAGGCACATGTGCGTGCGTGCCCAAGATCCCGAGAGTAGAATGGAGGAGAAGGGATTGCAGCATGGCCATCCCCCCAGGGGATGATTTCTCGCTTTCTGTCTCTCTGTCTGTCTGGAGAGCACACGTGCCCTATAGCAAAAACCTCTCCAAAAAAAAAAAAAAGAAGAAGAATTGTCAGAGAAGTTTTACCTCACTATAAAAATAAAATTAGTTGTTCAGTCTGTCTCTTAACTTAAAAGCTGATCTTGAAAAATTGGTAATAATCCTCATTGGCTTGATTAGGTAGAGACACAAATCAAGGCTTTCTCTCTGCAAACTCCAGAGAACATTTATGGTCCTGGCCAGTGTTCATCTTTCAGAGGTGCCAAGGAGAGGATTCACACTTGGAGTCAGAACACCACACTTTAAAGGTTGCTTCCAATCAGGGTTCTGTGATTCTGCATGACAAAAGTCAGAAAAACCCTAGCAGAGCTACAGAGTCAAACCTAGAATTGAAAAATAAGGAAAGAACAGGGTGAAGAATAAAACTTTTGATAAAATGAATCTTCTTTTAAAATGGAGTATCAATGAATTTCTAAATATTATAGTTCAACTCAGTATCATCTTCTCAAGTCATATATTTACAGGGGCCAAAAGAGATGGATTAAAATGTTAGTCTTTTAAAAAGTGACCAGATACCGAAGGAACAACAAATGCCAGCCATTGAGCTCGTGAGGGGATTGTAGTTATCAATTCGTTTGCGACCGCATAGCCTTTGATGATCTTGCAATAAAAGTAGCTCTACAGGCATAAATCACCATTACGATCATGCTTTGAAGCCCACAATGTCTCATCCGACTGTCTAATGGGGATGTTTATTATCCGCCTAAAGGAGCTGATACTTTTCTTGAATGTTTTAGTCATGTTTCAGCACTGAGGCCTGCATACTTATACCCCAACAATTCACCACAATTAAGCAAATGGAAATTCTTCCACTTTAAAAGCTGGTAAATTACTAACTCTTAATATTTACTATGCAAGTATATCCATTACTAGATCCTAGAGTTAATAAAGATGGTTTGAATGTTTCCAACTAATATTTTCAATACTCAGTAAGGTAATCAATTTGTCCTATTTTAAGCAGCATAACTCCATAAATGAGGTATTTTACATGAGACCTGATTTAAAATGCATTCTTTTCACAAGTGATTGAATAGTTATAATGAAAATTTATAATTTGTAGTATATTACAGAAGGAAGTGAATTGAATTTCTCTATCAAAATTATGCATGGTTCAAAATCTTTTGTGTTGTAACACATGGAAACTAGCAGACAAATGCAATTACATTAGCTATGCTGTCATCCAGAACATTTGAAGAATGCTATTTATCCAATCTTATCAATTTAAGCTTATTCTACTACCATAGCTGACTACAAATATCAGGCCATGACCATTACATTAATACTGTGAGGCTCTGCCTCCAAATGCCATTTCTGGAAATCAATGGAGAGAATTTTATTGGGTCTAGGCTATTTCACTTGAAGGCAATTGTCAAAATCAATCTGTGTCTAACTTAATTTATAATTTGATTTATACCTACAGTGCTTGCAGATTAGATAACTGATTAACAAGCATTGATTTATTCTCAGAAAAATGGACCTTTCAAATAAATAGCATTATTATGTTTCACAGAAATTAACACACAGTATTTCCAAAACACATAAATTATTCAGTGGAAGTAATAAAGGAGAACACTCTTTTTGTGGTGAAGCAATTCCAATAAAGATATTGCTGATGACAATTCTGTGACATTTAGAAATTCCTCAACTTACTAGAATATACAGGTTATAAATTTATACCAAATTATTTTCCTATTGCTGTAGAGTTCAGCTTATATAAAGATAGACATTTTTTCAAGAGACATTATGTTGATTTGGCTTTGAAATTGACTCTAATGTAAAGAGAGTTCATTGTTTTTTAAAAGACAAATATACAGCTCATCAGCTCATTTTATCTACCAAATCAGTTCATGTACTGTCACTATAAGCTGAACTTCTATGGACTATAGATCTTCATGCAGTCTTGTCTAAACTAGAAACCAACTTCTATCCTTAATTTTAAAGCCAAGAGCCCTGACTCTGCATGGAATTAAAAAAAAAAAAAAAATCTCATCACGATTTTTTTTTACCAACTGTAATTTACCACTTAAAATTCAATATTGAATATAAATTTGGGGACAGCAGGTGGTGTAATGGTTAAGGTACTGGACTCTCACATGATTGATCATGGTTCGAGTCCCAGATCCAGCAGCTTGAAACTCATGCTGAGCATGTGTGTGTGCATGCCCAAAACCCCAAAGAGAAAATAGAAGAAAAGAGATTGCAACATGGCCATTTCCCTAGGTGGATGGTTTCTCACTTTCTCTCTCTCTGTCTCTCTGGCAAGCACACATGCCCTGTACCAAAAATCTCTCTAAATGAAAAATAAGAAATTTAATATAAATTAGATAATTAGATACAAGTTGATCTCACTTATCACCCAATAGATATAACTAGAATTAAGTGATTTTAAAATAAAATGCAGTAAAAGTTGCATTCTACATTGGACTGTAATTATAAATATAAAACAGCTACTTCTTTTTTAAAATACTATGTTGAAATATCTAAACTTGGTTAGTTGATCCCCATCCCCTTCCAGTAGAAAACATTCCCAATGGCAGATGAAAGAACGGGGTCAGGCATCCTACAAGTCTTGTGCCTACTAAGTGCCTGCTTTTTTTTTTTTTAATTTCATTTTCTTTTATACATTTCATCATATTATTTAGCTTACAAAGTGAATATTTCAACATGTAAACCTTTCTCCCTAGTCCAGTTGATAAAACTATAAAATTATCTTCAACAGATAATGCTCCATTTCTTTGGACCATTAATGCTTTGCTTCTCTATTTTTCTCCTAAATGTCCCTCCTCAGACTCTACTCTTTCACCCACACTATATCTGGTATTCATATTCATTTACTGTGTTTCTATATCATTTAGTCGATCAGTATCAGTCACAGAATGCAGACACTCGGTATATATTAAGTGGGGACATACATTAAGTATCTGCTTTTGTGCCATTTGTCCCATTACTTGTTTGGAGATCTCCTATGGCTGTTTCTTCCCTAGAACCAGAACCCAAGGTGCTTCATCTCATCTACCTCCTGACATTGTACTCAGTGCCATGATTCCTTTTTCAAAACCTATTCTAGGGACCAGCAGTTGGCGTAATGGCTATGTCACTGGACTCCTATGTAGTTGACTGCAGCTCAAGTCCCAGACCTGGTGGCTTAAAACTCATGCTGGGCATGTGTGCATGTGTGCCCAGGATCCCAAGAAGAGAATGGAGGAGAAGAGATTGCGGTGTGGGCATCCCCCATGGCAGGTGATTTCTCACTTTTGGTGTCTCTGTCTCTCTCTGTCTTCCAGGTGAGTACATGCGCCCCATGGCAAAAACCTCTAAAAAAAAAAAAAAAAAAAAAAAAAAAAAAAAAAAACCTATATCTCTATCAGTCCAACCTTATAGTACTTTTGGAAAAAATTAAATATTGCCTCTAACTTTAAGTAAATCACCAGCACCACTGCTATATGACTGGTTTAATTCCACTCCATCCATCCCAAGATGCATTCCAGATATCGCTTCAAGATTTTGTCTCACTGTAACTTACCTTGCTTCAATAGAAAATCTCATCTCCTGCTGCGCAGAAATAATAAATCTAGAAGATAAAAGTATATGGGTTCTTTCAGGTTTCTGGCCCATTTCATCTCCGTTCTACCAATCTTGGGAGAAAAAGTGGCCTATCTACTGTTCAAGGTTAATTCCGCCATGCTTGTTCTTGAGCTAATCCTTTTCTACCTCTGTAATTCACTACTGCACAGGTGATTCTATCCTATATGCCCTTCTCTGCTGCTTGCCCTACAGAGATAGCCAAGCAAAGGGGCCAGTTTCAACCCTTTTCTACCTACCACCCAATACATCAATCTCTTGACACCTATGTCCATTGAAAGATGAGTTACCTTCAGTCATCATTTGCTATACCCTCATACTCACCTATTAGTTTCAACTCAGCCATTATTTTGTCCTTGCCTCCACTAAACATACTGTGATGAGAGGTCCCATCTTCAAATATGAATTCTTTTCACGGGGCATCTTACCTGTCCTCTCTATGAATGTTAACATTGTAGAAGATTCCTTTCTACTTGAAAGTCATTTTTAGGTATGTGAAACATGACCTCCACTTAGTTTTCCTTCACTCTTTGGCAGTCATCTGTTTTCCATCTCTTTTATGAACTGCTTTTATTTTCCTCAGCCACTAAGTGTTAATGGACCCCAAGAGTCTTTCTTCTCATCCTTCTTTTACCATATGTACAGCTCCTAGACTTATCCACTCCCTTATTTGCCAAATATTTATGAACATTTCCTATGTACCAGGCTTTCTCCCAGTGCTTGGTGTTAGGTCATACACTGTTACTTGACTCCTTCAAAGACCTCTCAAATCCAACACCTCAAAAATACTGTTTTCCTAATATCTTTTTACTCATACATTCCTTGTCTTGGATATTGATGCCACCCATTCATCCAGGCCAACCCCAGAATTAGCTCAGTGCCTCTTTCTCACACTCACCAGTCAGGACCAGTCCAATTCCCTTTATGCCTGTTACTTGCCATTTCTTTTTGCTCCTATAGTACCGTATTGTCTTCTGTTATTTCTGAAACTTACCTGTGTCTATATTTTCACACCCCTCCAAGCCATCCTCCATGGTGCTCTTCTGCAAAAACAGAAATTTGAAATTTGCTTACTTATCGCATTGTTTATGAAGGCCTCAGAAAAACATTTCAACCCTTAAGCAAAATAAAAAACGATATGTCACTGCTAGTCCTAGAAATGGTAGCTACACTTTATCAATTCATACCACATGCCAGACATTATGCTAAAGCACTAAAAAAGTACTTCATTGGGTATTATCAGTAAACCTGTGGGAAAGGGGGTAAAACCGTTATCCCCATCTTAGAAATAATGAAATGAAAAATCAGAGAAATTAAATAAATTCTTAAAGTCACACAGCTACTAAGTGATGGTATGGGGCTGATCCAACCTACATTCCCCTAGGCCCATGCTCTGACCTGCAATGCCATGCACCTCCCTTCTTGCTCTAGGTCCATCACTTTCCAACACCCCCTGCTCTAGCCAGGCCACCTCTTTTAGAAGACCTCCACATGTTTGTCCTGGCCATCCCAATGTCTTTTGTGACTTATACCCTTCTATACCCTTCCAGAAAATATTGACTCATATAATACTCAGCAAGATATGGTTTAAAAATTTGCTCTGAAAGCAATTTCCAAGTAGAACTTTCTGAAATGTACAAGGACAGCTTTAGTATAATTTCATAGCCTCCCAAGGTATGTGATATTAGGGATGGCTCTTATTTGATATAAGCAGGAAAAGGATATTTTTTAAAATGAGCTTCAATCATTTATATTTACATCTCATAAAGTAGGTGATAGTTTTGTCCAGCAGCCTTGGTAGATGATAAAAGGACAGATAAATGACTTTCAAAAGTCTACATATGCTCAGCAAATGGCATGGTGGTTAAGGCAGCTGGATCCCACATGGTCAAATGTGCACTTTGAGTCCTGGACCTGGCAGCTTGAGAAACACCCTGGATGTGTGTACAGGCATGCCTAAACCCCTAGGAGAAGAGATGGAGGAGAATGAATTGCTTTTGGCCATGACCCAGGAAGGGTGCTTTCTCACTTTCCCTCTGTCTTTCTCTTGCTGTCTCTCTTTATATCTCTCTGGAAAAAACCCTCACAAACTAGGAAAATTAATAAATAAAGATCAACACATATACATTTATATATTAACAAAGATAAGTGTGAACCTGGGGGTATTATGTTCAAATAAAAAACATTAGTTTTGAAGTCAGAGCTCTCTGGAGCAAATGATTTCTACCACTTATGAAATATATATCCTAGGATGTTACACTTAGCCCTCAGGCCTCAAGTTCTCCATTTTTTAAATAGGAGTAAAATGAAAGAGAGGCATTGTATGTCTGCCCTCAATATATACTGTATGTCTGCACTCTGTGGCAGAAACTGAAAGATTGGAAGGTATAAAGGCATGGAGAGCAGCTGTGGATATTAGACACAGTATGGAGGAGGGTAGGAAATAGGAGTGGGTGAGAGGGAAGGAATCAAGAGAAAAGGAAAAAAAAAATTTAAGGGACACAAAAATGAAAAGATACCTGTTGATAATAATGGGTATGGTAATATCTTTGACTGGACTAATATACAGTGTATTCATGCTGCGAAAATTTATTTTGTATGCTGCAATGATATATAGTAATTGAATATAATTTTTTTTTTTAAAAAAGGAGTAAAATGTTGCATCAGGGCCAGCCAGCATGGTGGTTAAGCTGCTAGATCCCTCATAGCTGAGTCCACAGTTTGAGTCCCAGAGCAGTACTTTGAAAAATGTACCAGATGCATGTGCATACATGCCCCAAATCCTGAAAAGTGCATGAGAGAAGGGATTGCAGTGTGACCATCCCCCCAGGGGAGTAATTTCTCACTTTTGCTCTCTCTGTGTCTGTCTGTCTCTCTCTGGCAAGCACATGCACCCTACAGCAAAAACTTACAAAACAAACAAACAAACAAACAAACACAAAACAGTTGACTCCTAGGGCTTTGGCAGTATTAAAGGAGAAATGCTTATACAGACTAAGTCATGGTTCCTGAGAGAGAAAAATGTTAGTTGCTTTCCAAATCTCATCTTTTCTCTCTGCTTCAATGCCATGACTCAAAGACATCAGAAACAACAATTTTACAGACTCTAATAATATCTCACAGGACCAATCAAATTATTTATCATATCCACCATATTTGTACTTTATCCTAACACATCCGATCCCTCACGTTTGGAGACTAGTGACAGCAGAAATTTGAAGGGCTCATTCAGGTAAATATGGTAGATCCCTTATGAAAATCTGCCAGTTAAATATCATGACTGATCTACTCACACTCAACTTACAGTTGCGTTGCTTCAGAGGAAAGATCCCCTGCATAACTGAAGCGTTGGTGTAACCCAGACATGCTCTTAGCAAGAAGAAACAGAGGAGTTGGGAAAACACTGGTGAGTAACCCCTGAGCCTTTCATTAAATGCTCTTCTGCCCAGGGCCCTGTGGTGGACACTATGCAAGCCAAGCTAACACAGCCGTCCTCCATGAACGTACTGTATGTAATTAAGCAAGCGCGAGAGCGAGATGGGAGCCATCTCTCTAGCTTTGCTCTGAACTTGAAAGCAATCCGGGTGGTAACAACTGGAAGGACTTCTGGCAGAACTGGTGGGATCTTCAGGAGCTCAGAAATACCAAACTGAGGCTAGCATGACTGTGTGGCAGCTGCAAGCTCCACACAATTAGAATGTTGGCAAGTCAAGCGGAAAACTGAGCCAGGCATAATACCGAGTGCCAGCAGGGCCTCTAAACCTGACCATTCCTCCACATGTTCTAAACATATGTTTAGCCCAGCAGGGGTCATGGTGACAGCTGAAAAGCCCCTTCAGAGGCTGTCAGAGGGGACATTTGTAAGAGCCTCTTGGTGCTTGAATGTGCCAATAGGGTGTTTTCCTCTCTTGTTAGCATAAATGAGCTTGAGAGAATGCAGCATGCAGACCCAGAGGGTGAGAGAGCTGCAACCAGAAGGCAGGGATATTTCCCCCGGGCCAGGCGATAGTCTGACTCCTGTAGCAGCTGGAAATTATTGTCCCATCACCACAGAAGCTGAGGACAACACTGTCCCATTTCCCCACAGTCACCTAGGAAACGTCCTGCCATCACTGGAACACCTCCACATTTAGGTCTCTAAACAAAACACCACACCATTTGTCTAACATGAAAGTCTTAGTAAAGAGTATTTAGAATAGATCATTTCAAATTTCTCAATTCCATGATCCAGGAATTAATTCCACAAGGCTCTGCAGTACTGGACCCATGTAGGAAGGTCTCAGGCTCATATGTCATGGACTTGGCAATACACAACATGGCCCACGTGCCTGTGGGCCTTGCTGGCTGAGGCTGCAGCTGGATCACAGTATGAGGACCTGATTGGAGGGTGCCCCTCCCTCCCTTTCTCTCCTTCAGTCGCTCATAGAAGAAATAAATAAGGAAACTTTTGAAAAAATCAATTCCTGTTATTGGCAAAGGAGCAGGAATACCACAGAAGTAACTTCATTGAGAATTTACTATTATGTGTATCTCTACAAGCTTAATGAAAGATCACATATCTTATCTTTTTTAAATCTTACATTTAAAAACTTGGTGAATAAAAATAAGTTGAAATGGGGACCAGCAGTTGGTGTAATGGCTATATCGCTGGACTCCCATGTAGTTGACCTCGGTTCGAGTCCCAGATCTGGTGGCTTAAACTCACACCAGGTGCGTGTGTGTGCATGCCCAGGATTCTGAGAGGAGAATGGAGGAGAAGGGATTGCAGTGTGTCCATCCCCCCGGGAGGTGATTTCTCACTCTCTGTCTCTCTGTCTATGTCTTTCTGGTGAGCACACACACCCTATAGCAAAAACCTCTCCAAAAAATAAATAAATAAGTTGAAATAATGTTCAAAATCTTAGAACTTAAAATATATATATATATATAATCATTCCTCTTAAACTATTTGAAATGAAATGGTTGTCTCAAAATTTCACAGCAATAAATTACCCCAGGTAAGTATCCATTGTTCTGAATAAATTTTCCAATGTCCCATTTCAACAAACTAGAACAGAATAATTTTGCAAAGACTGATTTAAGAATCTAAAAATCCATCCTTCTAATTTTATAATGAGAAGTTCCTCTTAAAGTCCAAGTCTCAGTAAATTTACAGATACACAAACTACTGGAAACTCAAGCCTCTTCCATTTATGAACCACAATGCCATTGCTGCATTTATTTTTGTATGGTTGCCACCCAAAATCAATCTCTAAGCCAAAAAGAAGATGACTATTCTTTTTAAGGTTTTGACCAAAAGGTGTGTGCACTCACCAGAGAGAGAGAGAGAGAGACAATGAGAGGAAAAGTGAGAAACCATCCCCTGGAGGGATGGCCATGTTGTAATCCTTTCTCCTCCATTCTCCTCTTGAAATTTTTGGCACGCATGCACACACACCTGGCATGTTTCTCAAGCTGCTAGGTCTCAGGACTCGAAGTGCTATTGGCCATGTGGGAGTGTAGCACCTTAACTTCCACACCACCTGCTGACCTTGTGGATGACTTTTTTGAGGTTTTTCAGGGTTTTTTTCCCCTCCCCTGAGAAAGAGAGGGAGAGAGAGAGACAGGTATCCTCAACAGGGCTTTTACACAGCTGTCCACACCCATCTTAGCCATCTCAGAACATGGGCACACGTGTCTGCCTTGGGTACACAAAAAGGTTTAGGAACATGAACTCAAGACCTTCCATGAAAGTCCAGTTGAATGACTGCTGAGCCAAAACCTGGTCCCCATTTTTTAAATTTAGTAAAGTGATTTTTAAAAACTAGGAGAAAGGGGAACCAGCAGTTAGCATAATGGCTATGTCGCTGGACTCCGATGTAGTCGACCGCGGTTCGCGTCCCGGACCTGGTGGCTTAAAACTCATGCCAGTCACGTGTGCGTGCGTGCCCAAGATCCCAAGAGGAGAATGGAGGAGAAGGGATTGCGGTGTGACCATCCCTTCTGAGGGGTGATTTCTCACTTTCTGTCTCTATGCCTCTCTCTGTCTGTCTGGCGAGTGCAC